AATCAAAAATATTTAGCAATGTTTCCAAACATGGTTCGGGCAAATGCTTCAGGAGCTGATAGTGGATATCGTCAGCCCCTGTTGCTGTATCATGAGCTTGCCCAAGGGCGGTATGTAGCTCATGTAGTGAAAGTAATTCATTATAATCTTCACCACTGTCTGAGTTAAAATTTAACCGTTTCTTCTCTTGTTGTTTCTGAAACTTTTGAAACTCAGGGACATAATTGGATGAAGATGAGTGCTTGGCGAGAGTTTCACCAAGTTTATTGGCAATGTCAGTTTTATTAGTTAATAAATTATCACCATCCTTCAGATGGTGAACAGTAGATTTAGAACCTTTGCCCTTTATTCTTTGAATCATGTTCCACACCTTTGACATAGGTGTGCGTGAATTTATTTTAGAAACATAATTTCGCCAAGACTGACGCTTATTTTGTTTAAAAGCACGTCTAGCCTTAGCATTTAAAATTTTAACTTTGTCTAGATTATGGACAGTAGGATGTCGGCGACAATACTTTTCAGCTTTCTTCCTACACTCTCTGGCCTGTTTACATTCATTATTGAACCATGGCTTACGAATGTGTGGAATTGCAGAGGACTTTGGTACAGTTTGGTCAGCAATGTTGTTCAGTATATCTGAAAATAACTGTATAGGATCTTCGCTGTTCGCAAAAATGTCATGTTTTAAGTGATCAGTACATAGTGTCTGATATAATGACCAGTTAGCCCTGGCAAAATTCCGTCGTCATAAAGGCGGATCATCACCAGGGTTGACCGCTTTGAGAAATGGTGGGGAAGTGATCACCCCCACATAGGTCATGATGTACCCCCCATTCAAATTCATTATATACGTTGGAATCGGCGAGTGATAGATCCAGGGAAGAATATGTTCCCGTAGCTGGATGTAAATAAGTGGCTGAGTCATTAAAAATACATAGATTATTTTCAGAAACGAATTCCTCAAGGATTTTACCTTTTGTATTAGTATGGTCACTTCCCCAAAGTGGGTTGTGACCGTTCATATCGCCCATGATGAGGCATGGCTTCGGAAGCTGGTCATATAGGTTTTTAAGATCCGACTGTCTAATATCAGAAGAGGGAGGAATGTATAAACTGCACAGGGTCAATGCAATATGCAGGGTGATGCGAACAGCAACAGTTTGAAGATTTGTACTAAGATGGACAGGGCTGTGTATTATCCCTTGCCGTACCAAAATGGAAGCACCTCCAGTTGCTTTGTCTCCTGGAGGAGAGAAAGAGGGATAATCACTATACCGTCTCAGAATAGAGTTATCTATATGTTTTAGATATGTCTCTTGGAGACATATAGCTGACGGTTGAAAATCCTGTGTTAGTAATTGAATCTCGTTGAAATTATTTTTGAGTCCTCTGCAATTCCATTGAATTAAAGTGGACAATTGAGTCATGGTGCTTCAATTGGTGATCTTCCGCGTGAATATGAGGAAGTGGAGCTCCTCCGTGTGTCCTGAGAGGACGGTGACACCTCCATATCTAGAGGTTCAAAGGGGTTGTCAAAAGGAACCTCTGAAGGTATTGGGACAGTTGGTAATTGTTGTTTCCTGTTTAATTTTTTCGCTTTCTTTTGGGGGCAAATGACCAGTGTTAGACTGTTTAGCTGACGCTTGTGATGTCTCTGGCTGAGTCTTAGTCTGAGAGTCTGATGAAGACTGAGAGCCAGATGAAGTCTGAGATCCAGATGAATCCTGAGAGGCAGATGGAGATTGAGTGGCTCGGGATGTCGATGGTAAGACTGAAGCAGAATTCATGGGCTTCTCTGACTTGACCCAAGTCAGATCTGTTTGACAGGTAACAGAGGATGTCACTACAGACCGAGTTACTGCAGCAGAGTATGACAGATGTAATGGGGTCGAATTCTCAATTTTAAAGAGTTTTTTTAGCGTCAAGGTATGGGATGTTATTTTCGCATTTTAGCTTCATTATTTTTGATTCCGTTTGCCAAACGGGACAGGATTTGGATGAAGAGTCATGTGGACCAGAACAGTTTGCACATTTAAACTCTTGGTCACAGTCTGTGTTTTCATGATTGCCACCACAGCGATGACACACCACAGAGCCACGACAAGAGTTGGACCCATGACCAAATTTCTTGCATTTATAACAACCGGAGTGGACTGGGGACATACACATCCACTCCGATATTAAAGTATCCTGATTTAATTGACTGTGGAAAAAGATGCACGGGCAAACGTCAAGAGATAGGTATTAGTTTTCACAAGGGTACCCTCTCTTGACGGCGAAACGTTTTACAGCGGTTACACCTTGATCTACAAGCTCTGCAGCAATATCATCCTCTGACATGTCGAACAAACAGCGAGCTCTGTCGCGAATGATTCCTCGACATGAATTTAATGTTCTGTGCACAGACACAGCAACCTCAATATTGGCAAAAGTTTTGATGGACAAAAGATTGAGACTGCTGTCTCCGTGCACATTCCACCAGAAGTGAACCACTACGGAGGAGACGGGTGACGTTCTTAACATCTCCACAAAATCCAGAAACAGCCTTAGATATCATAAAAGGATTTAGTTTTATAGGCAGAAAATCAGTTGCCTCAAACACAAGGAAACGAGCCCATGAGTCAGAATTCGAAGAAACAGTTTTTGAAGGGTCATCAACATGTTCGAAACGTCGCTTTTTTCGTTTCGCAATGAACCAGATGGAGTGGGATCCATGATAAGTGTAAATAGATTCGGCACCCCTGCTCCCCACCCACCACGGAGTGTCAACAAGGACAGTGTCGAATAGCACCGGATCTCCTAGATGCTTACACCAGGGATACAGGGGTGTTATACTCCAGAGATAAAGACATGAAAAGCCATGAAAAACTAAAAGAATAAATGCCAGGCTGGTTCGGCCGATGATATCATTCCCAAAAATCACAGATTTCAGAGATCTAATACCACCAGATTGGCCCATGAGCCACCGCCTTCTGGCATAGGACTCTAGGCAATTTAAATTTATCAAAAATTAGTACAATGTAGATCAAAATAACCAAAACCCAATGATATCGTATTGTGCAAACATAGTCACCATGCACAGGGCTTGGCGTGACCAGCCGATTGATAGAACCGGGCCAGTTCTACCACCCGTCTAGGTGAAGTAAGGGCCAAAGTGGTGTGTTGGGCAAAAGGAACACGGTTCCAGGCTCCCAGTGCCCTCAACCACCAGAATCCCGTCCTCCACCGACACAGGGGCGCAACCCACGGCAAACGGGTTGGTGGACCAAATATACCCCCGGGTCCACAACGGGGGGTCGAAGAGCGCTTAGCGTTACCCAGCACCCACCACGAGGAGGTGGCTCTTCACGGGTGCCTTGTATTATTTGATATGATAAAAATATCTCTCATATATCTATCAACAGTAGAATGAGACCTTTCAAATGACGCGTGACATGTTGTAGCAGTGATGTGTTACAAGCTGATTTGCAAATGTAGGCTTTATCAATCATGGCACAGTCTCATAGCAGTTAAAGCTTCTGGTTGACTGGTGTCGACAGAGATAAAAATACACCTTGTTTCTTTCATAGTGAGAAATCCTCTCATGAAGGAAAAGAAGTCTAAATCCTCCAAACTGTGTTCAGTACACCATCCCTAATACTTTCGAGCTTGGGAAATGTAGCAATACCGCAGCAGCAGCAGCAGCGAGGTCAAAAGGCAGTCGGGGACACATAAAAAGGAATACATTTTTATATTTAATTTTTTTTATTATTCATTCAAAATCAGTAGATACAAATTTACAAAGTACATGATGCAACAACACTTCTACACCGTAAAACAGAAATTCATATGGGTTGGCATTACACATATTGGAATCTTCATTAAGCTGGGAATGTGTGCAGAGATGACCATTTTCTGTCAAATTGTAATATGTTTGATTCTTACTGGCAATAAACTTTTCTGTCTTGAAAATATCACTCAATATTTTTACAAATGTATCCAGTGATAACTTATTTTTTTTAATACTTGATATATGGATATATTTTTTACTGACAAGAAGGGAATACAATTTTCACAAAATGTACATTTATGTTGTTTGCTGCTACCATAGCACCAAAAGCCGGATAGTACACCATTGAAATAAACGTAAATGCAGTAGGAAATACATGCCATGACCGGATTTACGTATGTTTTCAGATATTTCCTAATTTCGGGCATATATTTCATATGAATCTATACTATTGAAACATATGCTCATCGTACATTTTCGTATGCACAAGTACCTCATTCATGTATGCCATGACCGGATTGTCAGGTATTTACAAACATGAATTGCAAAACAAATACCCCAGTAAATACATGATCATACAATATTTCCGATGCATTCCTTTGAATTTCAATGGGTGCTGACATTTCCGATTCCGAGTTTACTCAGGTTGGAAACATGTAAATTTTCAAATTTGCAAATTTTTACACACTTATAGATATTTATGTATCATACCGGATTTCGGGGGTATGTATATGAACGGTTCATACAATTTCATGTTACATGCGCTCAGGCAAGATGATCATTTGTTTCCATCATGTGAATTACTTGGTTCATGTAATTTCATTTTCACACATTTTAGTACGTTTGAAATCAACGTTCACGTGACCTCATTATTCTTACCATCACCTGACTAAGAAAGCAGTATTGCGCAAGCTAACATGGCTTATTAAGCTGCACTCGCTCTTGCTACCAGTATCAGTTACGCTTTGTCTGCGGTGTTGGCAAATCTTGTGAGTGGTGAACAAAAGGGCGATGAGCAGCCCCTTTGTCCTTGCAAGTGTCCCTAGCTGTCCCAACAGAATAGCACTTTATCTCTCATGGAGCACAGCCAAATACGCTACACGAACCAACTCGTAATTTCAGTCTGTTCAGCTGTCGCATCACTACTGTAAAATATTATTTGGCAGTACATAACTGGAATATTATTGCACTGCATGTGACCTTTCTTAATAGTCTCACAGTGCCACTATTGCCCACTCTCAAAACGTGAGTTATCTGTCCTTGGCGACCGCTATTAAAAACATAATGCGCATGTGCTGGTCAACGCGTATCTACTTCCGGGAAGTGTCGCGCCAGTGCGGCAAATGTCAAGAATGCCGTCAAAACAGCGATACTGTTGTATTTGTAGTAATCATTGTAAGAAATTTGCGAATGGCCGGAAGATCACTATGCACAGATTCCCTGCAGATATACGACTGAGAAGGGTTTGGATTCAAAGATGCAAGCTTGTCCGTTCCAACTTCAAATACACAAGAAATGACAGCACCAGATTATGCTCGGAACACTTTTACGGCGGGGAGGGACCGAGTAAGCTTCATCCTTTGCCAACTGTTTTCCCAAAGAAGACATTCAAACTTTCGGTAAGATTGTTTGTGAAAAAATTTAGCTTAAAAGCAGATGGTATTTCGTATTATCCATCAAAGTGATAAAGCAAGGCTTAGGAGGTTAGTCGTATCGTATCATGTAGACTAGTACACATACAGATCAAGAATTGAGATAAATTTGACTTTATTATGTGAATTCCAAATGAAATATGAAATAATTACGTGCATGTTATTAGAACAATATTGGTAAGTTGGTAACCTTATTCCTTTCAATGAATCCATCCAAACATTAGCATTGCAAAAAACGGTTTTAATTCCTTCATGTCATTATTATTTTCTAAATTCTGGAAAATTAGTTGACATTTTCCCCTGATTACTGCATACATTTCCAAAAATGACAGTTGATTGGTGATCATTTTATCTTCTTTTACAGAATGTGTCCCATCTTGTCCATGGAACTACATGTGAGACCGATTTGGATCATGGTCTTGGTGAGAACATGGATATTGATGATGTTAATGAGATTGCTTTGCATATGGAGGATACAAGTATGTGTGATGTGTCAGCAGAGAAATCAGATTCACCTGCAGGACTTTTATCAAGACTTGAACGTTCCCTTAGTCACCATGACTACTGTGGTTCCCAAATGTTGACCAGTCTCTCTGTGAATAAATGTACCCAAACATTTTCGGAACCTGTTACATCAGCTGGAACTCAGACATTTGACAATGAAATTATCTATTGCAATGCAAGCACTCAAACATATGATTCATTGATGCACAGTGTTGGTATTCAAGTTGACAAACCAACATTGACCTATGAGGATATCAGGTGCTCTGATGAAAGTGTTATGTTCTACACTGGAGTTCCAGATTCATCAACATTTGAGGCTTTGTTTGATGAAATGTATGATGATGAGCAGGTTTACTCTGACACATCTGATGGTGGGAGACCACATGCTTTGAGGCAGATAGATGAATTTTTCATGATTCTAATGAGATTGAGATTAGGACTGTTACTAGATGATTTGGCATACAGATTTAGAATTTCACGTGCAACATGCGGCAGACTCTGCAACAAGTGGTTTGACTATTTGTATGTTCAACTCTCGTTTTTGGTGCAATGGCCAAGTAGGGAGAATGTTAATGCAACAATGCCAGATTCATTTAGTACAAATTACCCAACCACTAGAGTTGTCGTAGATTGCACAGAGATATGGACAGAGACACCTAGTTCACTTCAGCTACAGTCACTTTTATACAGTGACTATAAGTCACATATGACCTACAAGGCTTTGATTGGGATAAGTCCAGCTGGTGTTGTAACATTTTCTTCAGATTTGTATTGTGGTAGTATCAGTGACAAACAGATCACCAAACTTAGTGGCCTTGTTGAATTGTGTGAGGAAGGTGATGCTATCATGGCAGACAAAGGTTTTCTCATCTCTGATTTTACTACACCTAGAGGTATTGATCTAATCATTCCCCCCATTTAAAACTAAAAAGCAACAAATGACTCAACATGAGGTGAATGTAACCAAGAAAATTGCCAGTTTGAGGATTCATGTTGAGCGGCAAATGGAACGAATTAAAAACTTTCGCATCTTACAAGGTACTATTCCCATCACAATGGCTTCCCAGGTAACAAAAATATGGCATATATGTGTTTGTTTGACAAATTTGCAACCACCTCTTGTTCTTAAATGATATAAATTTGAATGAATTTGTTCGGGGTTCGGAGTACATGTAACTTCAATGATTTGCAGATTATTTCTTGAAATGTTAGAAGACTTAAAAAAACTTAAACATAATGACTTGGTGAATTATTTTAGTTTGTTTGACATAGTCAGCCTTTTTTTTTAGACCTTCATTAGGCCTGCAACATATTTTTCAGACATTTTTCACTTTGGTCTCTTTGAAACGCTTAGGAATATTTTGATAACGGTCAGGTAACCCCCTGTTATTACAAGCTACTAATTATTACCTCAAGCCCTGTTCTGTTAGCTGTACTCACTCCACTGCAACTGGATTAACTACTACTATTAACTAACTTGTTAGGTCAGGTGTTGGTTGTGAGTAGGTGTCTAACAGAACTTATAGATAGGTATAGATAATAGAGCATCACTGCTCAGTGATCATTATTGATCAGTAGATGATCACTGTTGCTAATAATTGACAAAACAAATACGAAGATTCTATATTTATTTACATTCACAAATATATTAATTCCTGTCTTGACACATTGTCTGAATGCAGTGTCAGGTAAGTTGTTTTACACAACATCCGCATTGTCCATCATATGTACAATGACACACAGGTATATATTGTCAATAAGAACATTTACATTTTTTTACAAGAAACCTATTTTTTTTTGCTTTATCTGTAGTATGTGAATGCCATTAGAACATTACTATAAAGCTGACAAATTTGTAGCTTTATTGGTAGAGCATGTCATTCAACAAATGTAATATTGACAAATGTGTTAAATACTGAAATAATAGTGTGCTTGAAAATGTGCCTTTCTTTATTTTTATTATACAATGCACCAGTTATGAAAGGATGTGAACTGTGAACAGTTAACCTTAAAGGGAGATAATTTAGCAAAACTACTTTGTAGTGCGTTTTCAGTTGTGGCAGGTTTTAGTGATGCTCTAGGTATCCATATGCAAATACCAAATTGTGATGTTTCATATTATTAACGTTTGTCTTTACAACATATATACTGGTACAGAGGCCTCAATACTACAAGAAAGATTTCACTTGACTCTGTAGCACTGAATGGTTCAGGAAGTTCCATAAGTATATTATCTCTCTAGCTGTTAAACAGCTATCCATGTTGTTGAAAGTGAGTCAGTATTGATCTGCACACAGTTATCAGTTCACCAATAAAATAATTTTAGTGATCTGTTTGTGTTTTTGTTATATATACATATTTAAAAACACTACTAATTGATCTTCAAAGCTGATAATTATTATAAGCCATCAAATAAGATGGCAAAAGATTTTAAGAACATTTAGCATGCAGAATAAAGCACTTAAATACAAGGGATGAAGCAATTTAGTTACAGACAAGTCTGTTTCTTGTGTCATAGTGTAAGTGATTTCATGGTACTTGCTTTCACTGTAAATGTACAATAGGAAAAAATATTTATATTTGGTTATATTCAAGCACTTGAACCTACTCAGTGGATTGGTATTCTGCACATGCTACATTTAATTCAAACACTCTTTTGAGAACTTTAGGCAAACATTCTAGAAATATGCACTTGTCATTTTCACCTTGTGTATTCAAACACTTTTCAAGCAAGCATGAACTCTTTTTCATTAAACATTGCCATACTGTTTCAACAATGAATGTGAACTGGTCAGCACAGGCAATCACTGATACATTTATAGGAACACTTGAAATCTTATTTAATTATACAGTGGAATACCCCTTTTCACTCTTCTTGAGAATAATTCTGGAATTACATTAGTCAGGTAAAATTTGTTCAACTGGGGCAGCATGTCATTCCAGACTTTTTCATCAAATCTGATTCTGTCAACAGTCCACCCATTCAAAGTCCAAATCATGAAATCACACCACAGTCTTTCAGTAATAGCCATTTGACCCTGAATTTGGTAATAATATCTATGAGACCTTTTAAGACGAACACGGTCATTCTCATCTAGGGAACAGTAGAATCTAGGATCCTTGGCACACTCCTTGGGCTCCATCCATTTCCAGTCACAGCGTGCAGGACACTTTATCTCAAGAACACCACCAGTATGTCCATCATCAGTCTGTATCAAACCATCAGGGCTAGCACCAAGGTGTGGATACTTTGGATTAACAATAAGACCACATTGTTCCACACAGACACAGTTCTTGTTTGCTGTTTGATAGACCTTGCGTGCTGCAGGTTCATGACTGGTTCCCCATTTACAAAAAGTAACATCAGAAATGTCTCTGTAGCCACAAATATCTTTAAGAAGATTATCTGGCTTTGTGTCACTGCGCATCAACACAACATCTCCAAATTTAGAAGAAGTAAGTCTTTCACTTCTGGCAGCTAACCATAAGTCGTTTTTATGCTGACCTCCTGTTAATGTCTCGATACAATGGGCATCTTCCTCTGACACATGCATACAATCAAATAATACCTGCATTTTTTTGCTGACAATCAGTGGAATGAAGATCTACATGGTCACAATATGAAAAGGAAATGTTATGAAGGGGAGGCAGAGAGGGTTTCATGTTTGATGGCGTAGAAGTGTCTGCATAAAACTTTAACCAGGCAGCATTGGAATTCTTACTTTCAAGTTTCTGTTTAAATCTCTGACAGTTGACAATGGGTTTAATGTAAGCTGCTTTTTCATTACCAATCTTATCACACTTCTCTGAATTTGAACAATTTTCTATCACTGCTTTCCTTTCATGTAGAACAGAAGATGACTTTCTAAAATTAACATCTTGTGATCTTTTTGGACTAAGTTTCCTCTTGCGTGGGTTATTCCACTTGCATGGTTGGGATGTGCATGATGTAGTACCGGCTTTCCTCCTTGTTGTCACATCAACTAAACAGTGGCACAGTGCTGCAATGTGATTGCAAGCCTCACCAGCCCTGAAATATGTATATAAAAAATAAATAAATTAGGAACAAATCTCAAATTTTGTTTACATCATGATTATTTGAAATCTTTTCTTCATACTATTTACTAAGAAATGAATTCTCATGCTTATGAGTACAAATTATATGTTACACATATCCTGGGCACTTTTAAGGTTTGCTTGCCTTGAAATTTATATCTCCTGGTGGGGTGTGGCTGAAGAAATTCTTTATGGAGGGAGCAGAAATATAAGGTATAATATTAAATAAGAAAAAGACAAAGAAGGACCACTTACCCAGCTGCACAAGTGCAGTCTGCAGAGTGAATCTTGCCTGTAACCTTTGACAAACAAATCCATGCAATGTGGTCTGGGCATTCTTTCTTGTTGCTCGTAGGCAGTGATGGTATGACTTTGCATCGCACGATGGCATGGCTACATACGTCTGAGACGGGGCTAAACTCAAGTGAATGAACATGTCTGTCTTCAAAATATACGAAAGACTTATGCTGTGGCTTCACGTTCATGGTGAGAACAAAGTAGTTATAGACTTCGGTCTCTGAAAAATCAGGAATGGCACTAGTGTCCCGTATCCAGACTGTGAGATTCTGCGGATCAGGAATACTCTCGCCGAGGGGTGTTATCAACTTGTTATGAAGTGGTCGAGTCGGTAGATTTGCAAGCTTTGTCGCGCTTGCATTTGTTGGATAACAAAGTCTGCTTACCCCTTTCGCCCTCTCAACAAGCTCAGACTTCTTACCAGTAACATATTGGCCATGATCGCGGAGGTACGCTTTCAGCTCTGTAACTTTCATGACCTCTATCTCTCGGTCACCAAGCAACGTATCAACAGACGCCATTGTTGCTAAGTACGTCCCGGAAGTTGGAGGTGTTTCGCGCCGGAGTAAATAGGAAGGGAGATAACTCACGTTTTGAGAGAGGCCAATTTAACTTTGAAAGTTTGGGGACTTTCATGTATCCTCTCAGAGGGAGGACAATAATTTTACGATACTTTAACCCCTTTTGAGGAATGTCATTTTAAAGTACAACACGTAATGAGGTGGTGGTTAACCGTCATCGTCAATGTCATCATGCTCCTCCCCTCACCTACTGATATGCTTGATAAGACCTTCTATTTTGAGATTATGAGCTGGCAATCATCACCCGACGCGCAGGTCAAATAATATTGATATACTCATACAGGATATCTAACTTGCAGATTGATTCATTTTGCAATGGTGTATCCCTTTAATTTCAAAAAGTCAATTCGCTTGTGAGGAATGAAATGATTTGGAAATAGTTCAATCAATCTAGATACAACAGACTGACGCATAAAACCAACTATGATGCATTAACTGTATTAGATGCATTTGCTGATGCAACAGTTAATGATTTACCTGAAACCCTGTTGTTTTTCTGCATCTATTAGCATCTTTTGTCATTTGAACAACATTGATTTATCCCCGCATGTGTTTGTGACGTATGCCACCTGTGTGAATGCTTAAGCGAACATTACCCGTGTGAGCTTTGCTGAATACAAGGTATCATCACTATTCAGCTGTGATTCAAAGAGAACATGTTCGGGGCTATGTATCCTCAAAGGAGGTTAAAGTACTGTAAAAATTATTGTCCCTTCCTTGAGGAGGGATGGTAAGTCCCAAGTCTCAAAATGAATTTATACTTACACTACTTTTTAACCGCATGGTATATGTCATTTTAATTTATGGTGATATTGTCCAAAACTCGCTAACAGCTGAATGGATGGTGTAAAGAATCAGCTTGTGGTCCATGCAGGAAGCTTAAAATGTACCTGTGAGTCCCCATGGTCCCTAGTAGTGTGGTGATCTTCTCCTTCAGTTGTTGGCAAATTATAGCCTGTTTTTATTGTATTGTCACATATAATTATAATCTGTTTTAGATTTAATTGCTAGTTTTAGGAATTCGCCATTAATTACTATGTATAACAATTGAATTGTCATCGTCACGATATGGCTGGAATTATTGCCGATGTGACGATACATTTTAAATCACTCCACTCACTCCTCAATAGTACATCAAGAGATTTAACGCGACGATTCCATGTTATTGTGTCTGCTGAACGAATCTGACACCGAACGACCTCAGTATTTTACAACTTCAATTATTTAAGTCACCTGACAATCACGGTATACAAACTTACAATAATCTCTACTACCACTCACGCACAGCCACCGCCAACTAAGCACCCTCACACTTCAAACTAATAAAGTTACACTCAGTGAAAACTTTCTTGAAAACGGAAATGGGCAACTAGATATTATCATGGACAAAAGAGCTCACGTTAGTAAAGAACATAAAAGCATGTTACCTACATAATCAGCTAAACTGCATCTGTACACTAATCTGTTGAACCGACTCTAGAAAGAGCAGCTTTAATTACACGCTTTGCCTTTGATGTAGCTGATCTCATGACAAGCTCCACCCGTTCAGCCCCTGATTTCCACCTATATATACGGACAAAGACAGCGTTTGCTGAACGTCAAGCACTGTCCCATGTTCGTCGAGGCTACTGGTAATCAATTATCATATATTATATATCAACCGAATCTATATATGTCGTTAATTAGCTTTAGATATCAATACTTGCTAACCCTAAACAGCCCATTCACTATTTAGCTAAAATAAAATAACATGGGCAAGATCGCAGAAAATATATTTAAAAGTGTTTAACCCAGGGAATCTACAAACATGTCCATACTTCCTATTGAAAACCCATAACCCGCCAAAGTGCCTACTATAACTACTTACTTCAACAACCTCGTTTACTATTTAGCTAAAATAAATGAACATGGGCAAGATGACAGAAAATTGATAAATGTGGTACCCTTAAGGCAGAAGACTCTTACCCTGTTGCGCGAACAACCGGAGTTAACACTGATTTTCAGTGGTCTCCTCATTATGTCACCAAGTATTTTTTACTTTTTACACCCCCTGGAATATGTGTTGGTGGAAATTCAAAACTGATTAATCTGTGACGTTAACTTTGTAAATAATACGGATGAAACTTAAAAACATCTATATCACAATGTTTCAACAGAACGCAGTTCTTGAAGCAAGTGTTAGTCCTCGTCAACAGATGCAGTATCATGTCAGCTTCAAGCAGGGATCGGGTGGTCGGGCTCGCTGACTTGGTTGACACATGTCATCGGTTCCCAATTACGTAGATTGATGCTCATGTTGTTGATCAATGGATTGTCTGGTCAGACTCGATTATTTACAGACCGCCGCCATATAGCTGGAATATTGCTGAGTGCGACGTAAAGGCTAAAACTCACTCACTCACACCTCATCAGGTAGCAACGAATGAAACACAAAACCTACACAGTGGAATAAGTGAGTGAGTAATGTTTCAAACCGCTTTTAAGCAACGCTTAACGGCGTGGTAACTAAAAATAGGCTTCACAAATTCTACCCATGTGGGGAATCATACATTGTACAAAAACAGGTCTTCGGCGATGAGCATACACTTTAACCGCTGGACTTCCCCACCGAACCTCACAGCGTCAGACTCAACGCTAGACAATAATCAGTCTAAATACCATAATGAAACATATTACAATGGGCATGTAACGTAGAACAACAGATGGGTCAATGAAACGTGAAGTGATGACACTAGATGTCCGTGAAAACAATAATTATGTCCTGTTGCACCTGGAAGTATGTCACAATGTGTATTTACGGTCAAGCATGTCCTGCTTGACTGCATTGATTTTTCCATCACAAGGAATAAATATTTCAGTGTCAAAACTGAAGATACGTATGTCCCAAAAATTTTCAAAGTAAAATTTTAACTTACCAGATTTCTTAAACGTAGCATTTTTGTTATTTCAAATTTCGGCTAAAGTTTCCTTCAATCGCCAGCAGCTGAAGGGACGGTGTAAATCCAGCTAGGGTCCATGCAGTTAGCAATAGTAATGTAAGTCCCGATGGTCCCTAGTATGGTGATCAACCATTAGTTGCTGGTGATCTATAGCCCGTTTTTTGTCTCTGTGTTTTTTGTCTTTTGTTCTGTTGTCTCTAGTGACTTTTTTAATGATAGCGTACTTGTTTTAAGGTAAGAGCTGTGATAATCTAGTAATTTTACTGTCCTTCGATGACAGGTTTTTACGTTCTAAATTTATTGATTTTAATATTGATATAAATTAAATTGTTCTCGTCACGATATGGCTGCAATATTGCATATGTGACGCTCAATATCAACTTACTCACAATGTGTATTCGTTCTTTAACGCAGCAACATCTGAAGGTGTACGAATTTATAGATCATGCTTTATATGGACATGTTATGGAATGCACAAAATATCAATTCACTGCATTGTATCCTTAATGCAAAGCCGCTTTGAATTCTCTTTGAACATGCGTTTCATATTGTGTGTGATGATATTTAAATCAGTCAGTTTATTGTTGTTTTTTTCACGCCGTCAAACCCGAACGGAAACCATTTATATATGCATGGGAGCAGATACGGGTGAGTGTTTACTTTAAAGCCAATGCGATCGAAATAACGCGCCAGCACATCGGATAACTTGATCATTTACTCGACCTCTGTGGGAGAAGGAAGACGTGACGCGTTATATTCGTTATGGAGTGTGGATTAATTATTCTAATACTGAGGTTATCTTGTAACTCCAGCCTTGCCTTTAGTCAAGACAGGTTTTGGAAACAAGTGGGAACAAGCTTCACAAATGTCATAATAACAAGTGACATCCTATCTGAAGTTTCCAACATTCGAAGCGATGTTGCATGTGTGTCTCTGTGTCTTATGACCGAGGCGTGTGTGTCTGTGTTCTACAGACTACAACATCGACGGTGTCAGCTCCATGATGTGTTGTTCATGTCGCCCCTGGACGGACAAGAGGAGGCGGGAACAGTGTACTACAGCTTTACTTCAGGTACTTAATCCGATATTTTTCAGCACTTTTTGAAGCACATTGTTAGAGGGGTACACAAAGTTCTTTTGTCTTGATTTGACTACCAGTTATTGGACGTCTATTTGTGGGGAACCTACGTTGGCTGAGCGAGTTAGATCGCTGTCTGTGTGATAGTGATTAGGTGCCGAAGACCTAGTTTCGATGCCCCTCATAGGTACAATGTGTGAAGCCCATTTCTGGTGTCCCCGGCCGTGATAATGTTGGAATATTGCTAAAAGCGATGTGCAAAACAACACTCACTCCTCGAATCCCAGATGGGATTCTAGTAGTAGAATATGTACGTTAATGAGAAAGCTTGACATCAAATGTATGGTATGTAACGGTTACACTTCACCACTTTCTAGAAAGCAGTGTGTATTCATGCACTTCAGAATTTTTGCAATTTCGGTATTTCAGCCAGATGTCTGCACAAAGATTTGATTACGTTTAAACATATGTTTAATGTTATCAGTAGGGTAACCTGTGCATGAATATAATAGGCATTCCATAGGGTCACTTACAGATAAATATGCAACTAAAATGGTCAGGTACGAATAGATTCTCCCCTGTCTGTATGCGGTGCAGTCATAATTGACA